TGAGCATGCAACATAAAACTGGCCATGCGTAATTTTTTCTTTCTGGGGCCAAATTTCAACTTTTTGAAGTGTTTCTCCTTGGAATTTGTTTATAGTTCTAGCAAACGTAGGGTAAACTGGAAACTGGATTCTTGTATATATTAAAATTTAAAGAAAAGATACACAAAAACAATATTTCATTTTTATTCAGTAAGTATTTGTTATTTGAATCATTAATTTTTTTTAAAAATAGTGCGAGTAATAAAACTTTTCAAAAAAATAATAAAAAATTATTGTACTAAGCTACGCACACTAGTAAAATCAACTGTACTTTGTATGTATGGCTATTTTAGATGGTGTGGGGTGGAGGGAAGGACTAACGAAAGACACAGAATTTTATATAAAAATAGATAGATAAAGTTCCGAGAAGAAAACACTTGTACATATACAAGAAAAACATAAAAATAAACGTACCTTTTCAGTCCTGTTTAAAGAGGAATTGCTGTCTAAGTAAACAGCTACCCACATGATCGTGTGCGTGCATATTGGCGCTTGCACATATTATATTCCTACATTAGTGTATAATATATTACTCTTATGAGAGCATTATGTATATATTTTTTGCACACATATATATATATATATATATATATATATATATATATATATATATATATGCGTAAGGGGGCACACAGTGAGGATCGAACACACAACGCAGTCGTAATTGTTCTAGCGAGACAAGTTCGCTAACCATTACACCATCCTGAGATGCCCGATATATGCGATTGAATATGGGACTTTAGGTTAATATCTATGTGTCTTTGCTTATATGTATATATGTATATATATGCATACATATTTACACATACATGCATACATACTTATATATTTATATACATATATATATATATATATTTATACATACATTCATATATACTTACACACACACACACACACACACACACACACACACACACACACACACACACACACACACACACACACACACATATATATATATATATATATATATATATATATATATATATATATATATAATCAAATAAAGGAAACTGATGTCATTTTGTCAATTTGAAGAACGCTCTCAGAAAGGCTTTACAATCTTCATGTCGATTTTATTCCTTGGAGAAGTAGGGTTTTGAATTTCAATGGCAGAATTTTATGCTTAATAAAAAGTATTATCCCTATTCTTATTTTTATTCGTTTTTTTTTTCTGTCTCCTTTTATTCGACGAGAAAGATTCGCACAAAATCTACGAAACACTCGGCTCGTTTAATACAGGGTGTCCATAAAGTTGGTGTGCACTTTAAAAATTTATAACTTTATTTCTATTTACGATAGAAATAATTTGTACAAAGGATTAGAAAGAATTAAATCTATATTTTTTAGGGTTTTATTGAAATTTTATTTAAGTCTCCACATCCCTCTATCATTAGCAATACAAAGGGTAATACGAGTTTGCAGTTCACGGAAAAAAATGCCAACTGATTTACAGTTATGCCTGAAATCACATTAGTTATTTTAGCTATACTTAAAACTAGGTACATTAAACTTTATAACATTTTTTACAGATTATTTCTATCGCAAATACAAATAAAGATATAAATTTTTAAAAGTGCACACGAACTTTATGGACACCCTGTGTCTATTTACTTTGAATTTACCTGTGAAACGAAAGGGTAATTCTATTTTTAAGGAATTAGTGGATTTTTTGTTTCTCACCCGATATTATGTTATATTTTAAACAGTGTGAATGATATCTACAGTCTTGCACATTCGAGACTCAATATAGAAGGTGTGCCCTCCAGCAGGGTTCGAACCTGCGTCGCCTTTTGATGATGAAACTAACGTCTGACCCGGCCTCCTAAAGGCGTCCGTTAACCGAGCGGTCTAATACACGCTGGTCAATTGGTGGTATCCTCGACAAAGGGTGAACACAGGTTCTAACTCTGCCGAAGAGCAAACTTTATTTATTATGGCTTTCGAATTCAGATGCCTGTGAAACCATTTCAAAAAACAGGGCTTCTACTTAAACACGTGTATCTTACAAATTACTTTGTTTACGTTTCGGATAGAAAGGTGGCGTTAGCAGATATGAAGTTTCGAGCGGATATGAAGGAGTCGATGTGCATTCCTAAGAAGGCTGATTGAGCGATGCACGCCCTTGATGCACTTCAGCAGACGGGCAATCTAATTAAGGTACGTTTTATCAGATGTATAAAATGTAGACGCATGTTTCGAACCCTTCTGGGGGTACATCTCCTTTATCAAGATTCTCGAATACACAGGCTGGTAGATGTCATTTATGCTGTTTAAAAAACGGGGCTTCTACTCAAACACGTGCATCTACTAAAATATGTCTATTAAGAAATAAAGAAACAAATATTCGTGTATTTATTCATTGCATCAAACACTTTTGTAAAGTGCTTTTCTTTTTTGAAGTTCAGCGATGTCAACTCAACGCTTTTTGCATTGATATTTATTATTATACCTTAAATTACATCATTAACCTACAAATCACGCCAAAAAATAAAATAATTTCCATGCCTGAAGATGACTAAATGTACAGTTGAAAGTACTTGCGTATTAAAGAAAGACCTTATACAGCTTTTAATTTTTAAAACAAGGATCATAACATTCATCGAGTGATTTGTAGGTTAATGCAACTTTAAAATTTTGTTTGCGAAGGGATTTCGCCATTTTATATCATTAACTTTACTAATCTACTTTTGTATGAACGATTCATTGTAATATAAATTGAACTGAACCACATATTTTGATATATTATTGATTAAAGAATATCAAACACTTAAAATTCCATAAGTGTTAATTTTTATTTTATTTCTTTAATTAATAATAATTTTGCTCTGTCTTTTGATATAGGGCACTTAAATAACTAAGAAAGACACAAGTAACTAGTAAATAGAGATATGACCTTATGAACCAGGAAAAATATATTTTCTGGGGAAATAAATTATAGTCATGGAACCTTAACGTTGTCTCTTTCTTAATTATTTAATTAATATTTGCTCTGGTGTTACATTGGGCTCTCTAGATTAAATACTTTTTGGAATTATCCACACGAATTACCAAACCATTTATTTTACTATATATATATATATATATATATATATATATATATATATTTATATTATATATATATATATATATATATATATATATATATATATATATATATATATATAGATAGATAGATAGATAGATAGATAATTACATTTATATATTATATAATCTATACCGGGTGTAACAGCAAAACTGTCCAAATTGTGTAATAGCATGGGATAATTGTGCATCACGAAAAATGTTTAATATCTTAAAAACACTAATCTAATTGAGTTTCTTTTTTCTATGTTTTCGGATAAGATGTTTAGCCATCTTGACACCATTTGAGTTATTCAGCAAGAAAGAGAACAGGTTAAAATGATTTTGTATCAGCCCTACTCTGTCTTTTCAACTGAGCAAGGGTAAGATAAAAGCTATCATTCAGGCCTTCAGTAATGATACCAACATTCATACTCTGGCTCCCCTTTTCAAAGTCCTTTCAAGAACCATCAAGAGAACGGTGAATAAGTTTAAAAAAGAGGGAACAGTAGAGAGGAAAACTGGATCAGGAGGTCAGAATAGCAAGAGGGGTGATGATTTCAGCTTAGAGCTAAATACATTCTTATTGTTCAAAGTAGAGTCCAATAGTGTTATAAAAACCCCGGAGAATTCCAGTAAGATACCTTTAATCATTTCTAAGATACAGCCGTTCAAATCATAATCTGACAATTGGGCAATTTTGCTGTTACCGTTTTGAATAATTTTGCTATTACACCCGGTATATATATATATATATATATATATATATATATATATATATATATATATATATATACACGATATCTGCGATTTTTAATAACTCAGGAATCGTTTGTGAAGCCATGATGCAACGTGAAACACATTGCATATTATTGCCACATCTGTTCTGATGCTTCTCCTAATGTTTCTGTACAAAATCCAAAGAATCTGCAACATTATTAGTCCTGACTTGGCATCTCAACTTTCTCAACAGTCAATTTCTCATCGCCGTAACGTACCTTCCCTGTGTGATTTCTAGAAATATTTTCATGGTAATTGATCTGATGAACTCTCGTCTATGGTAGCACGAGTTTGACTGGTAGATCGCTCATTTTACTGTTGGAATGGCTAAATTTAACTGTGAGTTCTATTTTAATGCTTTCTTCTCTCGCATTTCTCACTGACAGAAATTTCTCTCATACTTCTCTGATCTACTGTCAACTAGATTGCATAAAACATTAAATGCAACATCAATCGCCATCTTCTGTTCCCTTGAATCCTGTTCTATTTATTCTCCTTCTCCTTCTGTCTCCTTCTCCTTCTGTCTCCTTCTGTCTCCTTCTCCTTCTGTCTCCTTCTCCTTCTGTCTCCTTCTCCTTCTGTCTCCTTTCCTCAGTTTCCTTCAGTAAGCCCTTGGGCCGTAGTGCCTTATCGTTTTGCTTGGGCTGAAATGATTTTCAAAATTTTGTGAAGACCTTAATACGGATACATGAACAAAATCTTTATCCTTAATTTACTTACTCAGCATTGAGACAGCAATAGATGAGTTTGCGTACTGTGTGACCACTGAAACACCTCCTCAGAGTTCAGAATTAGCTGACTGCGATCTCTGGCTAAAATCATCGATGGGATGGTGAAGAAATGAAAAGATTGATTAATTCGTTTTTTAGGGCTTATCAAATCTTTGCAGGTTATTAGCCAGCAAATATTTTAGATTGTAAGAAGTTTTTGTGATAATAATGATTTATCGATACACGTCTTATTAATTAACCCATAGCTGGAGGGAGAAGAGGTGGATTCATGCCTTTACGAAGGGTATTTACGCGTAAGTGAATATAACGAAGCCAACTGGAATTGGAACTCGGCCCTCCGATTAACAATTCCGAGCCATTATCCATTACACCACCCGCACATCTAAGCTTACAGCACCTAGTATTCTCATGTGGTCAACCATCTTGGTACTGACCAGACTCGACGTTGCTTAAGATCGGTGATCGTATAGGAACCGATGTTTTAACGCTATATGGACGGAAACCGAATGGTTGAAAAGAAGCTGTTTTTTATGGATTATCAACCTTTCAAAATATTCTGTGAACTGGATAATGGTTATCACTACAGGAGACAGTGGTTTTAAGAGTGAAAGGGACGATGGGGTACACGTATATGACTTTAGTATTTGTGCCAGAGTTTAGCAAACATCTCATGCTCGAAGATTTAACCACGGAGCTATTCCTACCTGACCCTCTTTTATAACCCTTGCCAAAACTAATTAAGCTGTTTAGTTCACTCTTTCCTTCTTATTTTTTTATTTGCTGTTCGTATTTTGTTTGTTGGGGATTTTATTTGTTATACTGAACTGACTCTCAGCATTTGCAAAGAGACTCGCTAATCGGAAGGTCTTAGCAGATAGAAGCCGATGTTGAAAACCATAGACAAATGTTGATGCGGGGCAGAGCGACGAAGAGGGGGAAGGCAAAGTGATGAAGATATGCGTAGCCTTTTACATGGTTGATTTAGAAGCAAGAAAACAAAGACAAGTCTCTTGTGCCGGATAATTGTTCGAAGTAAATATTTACGCAGGAAAAGGTTTTCCGTTGTGTATACTCACGGCAGGACTGAAACCATTTGCCCTTTCTTTGCTTTTCATTTTCCCTCTATGTTACTTCTCTCGGGGCTGTCAAAAAAGGCGTTCCACTATTCCTAGGGAAACGAAAAATCCGTTAGACTGATCATCATTTACCCCCAAACATCACCAATGCTTTTAAACTGGACCCACAATGGTATTTGGCTTTCATGACGATCATTGACTTATTTGTTCAGTAAACTAAAGTTGGACACAAATCCACTTTAGGCAGAAGTTCCGTGAGGAATTAACTCACTGTCAATGTCTTGCGAGACTAACACGTATTTTTTTTTATCATCACTTTCACTTTTGAAGGACACGGGTAAGAGAAGCGCCCAGTGATCTTAATAGTGTGAGCTTACTATCAGATTGCGAGAATAACACAACTGTCATTCAATGATGAGCACGCTTAGTTATATTTTTTTAAAATTCTAAGCGAGCATGGCTCTCCACAACTTCCTATCCTTTGTAACTCTAAACAATGGTCATCTTTTAAAAATCCTTTTCTATCATTTACACAACCTCATTAACTTGGTGTTTTCCTCTGTTCTGCTTCTGTTGACTTCAGTATGTATTGTGAGTACCAAATTCTCCAAGCCCTCTTTCCTCACCATATGCCCGAGAAATTTCAACTGCTTCTTTCTGATTCTAAGTGTTAAATGTTCTTTTTGTTTCTATTTTCCTTCAAATATTTCGTCTACAGTATTTTCGGTATAGAACTTCACTTTTGCCTCAAGTCTCCTCTGCATCGGTGATGTAATTTTCCAGCATTCACTGCTATATTTGGAGGATTTATATATACAGATGAGGTAGTCTTAATAGCAGTTCGGCATTCGTTTATTTGTTTCTAACAATTTTTTTCTATTTTATTCAAGTGGTTGTCGATCTGCAGTACTGTTCTCGGTAAGTGGAAGTCAAGCCCCGTTGCTTTACAGTAATGTATTTATGTGATATTCACTTTGGTCTGGCATGAGGCAGCAGGTTTGGAGCACCTAGTAAGGACTGATCTCTCTACATTAGTTAGCTTGCTAACCATTACTTCACAGAGAGGGGATTTTATATTTATTTAGTTTAGCCTGGCACATATCCACAATATAGGATTACAACAATAATATGCGATTCTAGCTCTAGTTGTATCACTGGTCAGGCACCCTTTCAAGTAAAAGACTGCAAGTATTAAACCTCCAGTGAATATTAAACGCACTACAGTAGAAATGGTTGCAAGATTAACGTGATAGCTATTGCTCCAAAGGAAGACGGCTTTATATGTTAATTAGTTTAACAAGTACGTAAATAATGATCTCACATTTTAAGTCTTTTTTTTCATATTACTCTTTATTTATATTTTCCATTTATTATATTAATATGTAGCCATTGGATATGAAGGGATCAATTTATTACTTAATAATAATATAAAATTGATCCACCACTTCCTGTTCAGGAGAATCTTATATTAATACTAGTTTACTTATGGTTTCAATTATTATATTGTATTCATTTGGGGATAGGTTTATTACTTAATAACCATATAAAACTGACCCCCACTTCATGTTCAGTAGCATTTTATGTTAAAAGTACTACTTTATTTGTCTTCAATTATTAAATTGTATCCGTTAGGGGATCAGTATAAAACTGACCTCACAATTTATGTCCAGTAGAATCATATATTAATATATGTTTACTCATGCGATCTCTAATAGCCTCTGGCAACAAAGTCCAGCACCAAGTCGGAGAATGAGCGAAGGCGAAAACTGGCGCCTCATGACCAGCTGCTTCGGGTAGATGAAACTCCAAATCCCAGTAAGGCAGCCCATCTTGAGGGAGGAAAACTCTGATTTTAAACGTCGTAGCCTTGCAGACATGACTAACCAAACACGAAAAAGGCTCTGGAAGTAAATTCGGACAGAAAACTTGGTGGAGCCCCGAAGACGATAAGCTGTCAACACCGACGACTTTCCGGCAACTCCTTCAGTCAAACTGGCCCCAAATGCCCTCTATTCCTTTAGATCGTCGGTATAGCCTAGACGGGGATACATGCCGTCTGGGTAGAGCACGGCCTCCATATATCATCGGCTTGGCCTGCGCCCTGGAGAGGTCACCCCAGGCCCGCCATGACCAAACAGGGCGTTACCTGTATCTTGCCAGATAAACGGATGCCTATTAGTCAGGTGACCTCCCTCTGCAAAAAAAAAAAAAAAAAAAAAGAAGTTATTTTGCTAAGTTTTTATGCTTATTATATTTTCACATGTGAGTCGTTAACCTTAGAACACTAACCATCAGTTAAAGTTACACCATTACTAACCATTGGTATATCATACCCGATTTAGAAAATATCAAAAAAAAAAAAAAAAAAAAATTAAATATAAATCTTTATTTGAAATATTTTACATGCAGGCACTTTAAACTTTATCATACCCGATTTAGAAAATATCAAAAAAAGAAAAAAAATTAAATATAAATCATTATTTGAAATATTTTACATGCAGGCACTTTAAACTTTATCATACCCGATTTAGAAAATATCAAAAAAAGAAAAAAAATTAAATATAAATCATTATTTGAAATATTTTACATGCAGGAACTTCAAACTTTATCATACCCGATTTAGAAAATATATAAAAAAAAAAAAAAAAAATGAAATATAAATCTTTATTTGAAATATTTTACATGCAGGCACTTCAAACTTTATCATACCCGATTTAGAAAATATCAAAAAAAAAAAAAAAAAATGAAATATAAATCTTTATTTGAAATATTTTACATGCAGGCACTTCAAACTTTATCATACCCGATTTAGAAAATATCAAAAAAAAAAAAAAAAAAAATGAAATATAAATCTTTATTTGAAATATTTTACATGCAGGCACTTCAAACTTTGTACTTTGAGTTAACATTACTAGGAATTGAAAAACATATTATTTAGGTAAGAAAATCAGCTACTGAAAATTGTAATTAAAAATAAGAAAATTTGCACTGGGTACTATATACCTATGGTTAGTGTTCTAGGGTTAAATTCATTTCCAGTTATTATCGTTGTACTCTCCTCTTTCATGGAGGTCCTATTTTCATTTATCAACTTTGTAAACATCTTTGAACACTCCGCCATTCTTCATAATAAAGACACTTCCACCTGGCGTTGCTAGTGAAAGACAGATATAACTTTACTACAAATAAATCCTCCATAGTATGACGGTAAACTACATTCGGCAACAAGGTTTCTGATCGGGAGATTTGGGGTTTTAAGGAGCGTGGAACCACCTCTTAACTTCTGTTGTTCCCAGGTTTACCCTGTCTTGAGGTGGTTGCACCTGTTAGGGTCCCAGCTATGGGCAAATAGTGAACCTCAAAGCAAAAATCAACAGTACATTTTTATAATAACATGTGCAACAATATATTTTTATGCCTAAATGACAAACAATGCAACACTAAAAGATATAAAAATACATTTTTATAGTAAAATTACCAACATAACATTTATGAACTACAAACTATAGATGTAAATAAAAATTTCATTTAACCTGAAAGTATAAAATTACGTACAAAATATTTTACATTTCGGCATTAAATAACCCATAGAGGTGTTGATATGCCACTAAACAACATTAGCCAACTACAAATAAAGTTTATAGATAATACAAATAAATAATTGTCGTATTATTATTATTATTATTATTATTATTACTATTATTATTATTGTTGTTGTTTCCTTTGATTTCTGTTGTATACTTATTTCTTTCTGTGTCCCGACCAAACACCTAAAGTCAGAAATGGCATCATGACATTTTCTACTGAGTAATTTTGAAAAAAATCGCACATAATTTACATAGATAAATGCCTTCGTAAAGTGTGGGTTGTCCTCGTGAGATCAGTTTTATCATTATTATTATTATTGTTATTATTATTATTATTATTAAGGAATATTTTTCACTATTAGAATTTGGCAATTTGGTAATTTAGAATTGAAGACCAAGTGGCATGCAAACTTTTCACACCTCTAGCACTTTTCTCAGTAAGTTGACTGATTTGAACATTTCTTCAATTAATTCTGTAATTCGCGAGTTCCACCAGTTCTGACCTTTAATGCTAAGACCCACCATGCCATGTAGACAGGGCGGGGTTCATTCTCATTCCGTTCGTATACAATTGGTAAGGAGAAAGTTTCAATCGACCAGCATCTTCCAAAGAGACGCTGCTTTGTCGAACAGACTCCTGAGAAAATTTCTTTCACGACCACTACAATCCTAACATCTTCAAGTCGACAGTCAGCCGTTATCTATTCTACATATTCCCATAATCTACAATTTTCCCGACCATAAATCATGACTGATTGATTGATTTGCTTTTTACGGTTTATCAACCCTTTGTGAGTTATTTAAAGGCGAACAATATTTGAGATTGTGAGAATAA